GAGCAACAGCACGGAAACCTGTGGAGATTGTTACCCCCTCTGCTGCTTTGGTTGTTTGGGAACCATCGGTGGCTGGTGTTCTTTTGGGTTTTGCCGGAATAGGATTTTTTCCATTTAAAGAGAGATATAGCCTGAACACCAAACATCGATGAAACGTATTGTTAGCGTGTTACAAACCGAAAGAGGTAAAACATGTGTCCATGTTACAGTTAAAGGAGAACTGCTACTAGAAACTAATCAGTCAGAGCCACAAAAGCCCTTCTCCATGTCTCAAAAATGTCAACTGAACATTACCTGCAGAACTGAAGGGAGAGTCAGACTGGGTCCTTTTTAAACATAAACTTAAAGACTTTTTATTGCGAGGTCAGACATGTGGACATTAATAATCTGACTGTCTTGATCTTTTATCTGTGATGTTTTAGTGTGCGATTTGTTCTGTTGTGCAGTCACTGTGTTTCATGTAAAAGCCTAACTGGGGACAGGCGTTGAGAATTAGCCTTAGCTAAAATGTGTGACATGTTTCATGAAACATACTTGTCCCTATCAAATAAACGAATAAATAAATAATACATAAATAAAATATGAAAAATGATCACATGAATCCATGAAGAAAAAGCCATGAAGCAGTGATGATGTTGGAATCAAGGTGAGCTTTAATCTGGTGGTGAATCGTTCCCCTGTGAAGGATTCTCAGGACCAAACAAACATGAGATGGAATTATTTGCGCCAGTGAATAAAACTAAGTTTCAAGACTTGTCACCGCTATGTTTTCAAGATGAATGACTGCTAACAATTCAAATCAAACATAATGGCTTCCATCCATTACTTTGACCAACAGCTTTTGCTCCTAGTGGTGGAAAACCCAATTCTTTTAATGGGCTCTGAATCACTCAGAAAATTGATCCAGTCACTTTATAGTGTTAGTGTTGTTGACCACTACTACTAGTAATAAAAATACTAACAGTGATAATGACCATCATGGCATGTGAACAAAATATATCATTCACTGACTGGACTAACAACAGTGAACTGAATTATCTAGTAACTGAATTGTTGCTTTCTTTTTATCTGCCTAGAACAAAACCCCAGCCACAGATCTCAGAGGATCTGGGTTAATCGATGCCTCCGACTCGTGATTTCTGATTGAGTACAACAATCAAATTCTTATTTTTTATGATTAATTAAGTCATTAAGGATTCAAGACGTGACCATTTAGCCACCAGACATTCAGAAAACACAAAATAACTGAATTGTGTTTGTCCAGATGGCTGGAAGAGTCTACTTTGAAAAACTGGGGGGGAAAAAGTCCTGGTTTTAAGCTGTTACATAAAACAAACGTGGAGGGGCTGTGGCTAAGTTAGCATCATGATTGTTGTCTTACAGGAAGGTCAGAGGTTTGAGCTCATGCCCGTAAACACGGAGCACATCTCCCACATGAACATGTTATGTATAAGAGCAAATGGCATATTTCAATTATAATTTATAAAAGGGTGATTTGAGAGTTCTGGTTAATCCAGAAAGGTTCTCACAAACATGGAGATGACCCCAAACTGCACAATGACCGGCTTGCTCTGGTATGACCATCTACATGTTGCTACAAAGGCTCCATGATAGCTTTCTGTGTGGTGCTGCTTTTGTATCTCACCAGTTTTTTGCAGGGTCACATTCTGAATTATTTCTACATCCTGATACTTTTCATTTCTACATGCTAATCCAGCTAAAATATAACTTTTCTCTGTACATCTAAATTGTAAATGAACTGCAAACATAATGCTTCTCTAGTTATGTTAAACTTTCAAAGATCAGCTACGCTGCAGTAAATATATTCATAGTTATAACTATACGATCAGAAAAGATGAAAACCAATTGAGAAATTTCACATTTAAGCCCTGCTGTCATCTGCTTTTTACCAGAGTCATATTTCCTTGAGCATATAGAGCCTCTATCTATCGCTGGAGGCCAATTTGAGCAGACGAAATATCCAAAGGAACAACAAATCAAACCTCAGACACACTGCATAATGCTGATTTTATTCAAACTGTGTGACAATGCAGATGTGCATGGAGTTTATGGAAAAAGTCACGTTAATCCAGATGAATTCCAACAATCACTGATTAAAACGCTTCCATGCAGGACTCCATCCAGATGGATCCGGAACAAAAAGGATTAGCAGTAGTTTGCATAATAAATAGGCCAAACAAACAAACAAAAAAGCTTCAGGTAAATAAACCTTGAAGTGAGTCCTTGTCTGCCTCCGTCCATTTTTATGTACTCAGTTTATTAATCAATATTTGTGGGCCATAATTGCAGCTGTTTTGCATGTTGGGAGGTAATGGAGATTAATTAGTGACCTGAAAAATGCTGTATGTATAAAAGGATAATGAGCTCAGCTCCATCCTTTAATTTCTAAGTGATATGCCAAGTCATCTGAGAAAATGGAAAATCAACTTCAAACTTTTTAATTGTATTTTTTTTTCTTCTTAATCTTTATTGTATGAGGAGACCCCCGGTGGGTCCATCTTTCTGGGGAAAGTGTGGGATGCAGCAGCTCAGTAATGAATCAGTTCCCGTTGTGTGGATGCTCTGTCTCAGTGGGGCTTTCTGGTACTTAAGGTGACCTTCATTAGATTAAAAAAAAATAAAAAAGACAGCGCATGACTCCATCCACTGCTGTTTGGGTGCAACATGACAGGTACAGAGACCAGGAAACGTGTTCTGTGACCTGAAACCCCTAACCACATTTCACTGGTAAGCACATGGGGCACCTGGAACATGTGTTTCCTCAAAGCTCAAAATGAATATTCACAGGAAGTGTTTCACACCAGCTCTCATTTAATTATATATATATATATATAATTTATATATTTTTTATATATGTGGTTATATATATATATATATAGTTTATATATATATATAACAACAACAAAAAAAGTTTAAAAAAAGGAAAAAAAGAACATGTTTACTGTTGTGTAATATTTACCTAGCTCCATTTTTGTATATT